GCTGGGCCCAAGAGGTGGAGGTTGCTGTGAGCTGTGACGCCACAGCCCTCTACCAAGGGCAATATAATGAGACTCTGTCTCTAAAAAAAAAAAAAAAAAGTGTATGAAGTTCAGATATGCATTCACTACTCTTTTTTGCTTCTTATCCCAGAATATATATATATATGTTTGATGATTTTCTTTTTAGGTATTACTAGCCTATATCACATCTCATTGTATACATGCCTTACACTATCTACATTTAAGTTCAAGCTTAGCCTTAAAGAATATGAATATAAAATATCTATAGACTAATGTACATTTCATAGCATGATAGGAAAGAAAGGGAGGGCATGAGATCTTTTAAATCTTTGTGAAAACTTTAAAATAGCCTTGAAAAGGACACTATTCAAGTGCAAAGATTATATTGACATGAATATGTAAACTTAGAACAGATTTTACCTCTTCAGACAATGAGAGAGGAAGACTATATTAGGAATATACATATATATGTACATATATATATACACACACATATAGCCGTTGTCTATGAACTAAAGAAAAAATCAGAAGCTCCTCTGCTCTAGTGAGCAAAATATTTATTCAACAACAGCAGAATACATATATTTTTCTAACAAAACATGGGATGTTCATGAAGAGGTAGCATATTATGGGCCATAAAACAACTCTCAAGTTTAAAAGGATTACGAACAAATTGTTTTCTATGATGACAAAAGAATTAAGCTAGAAATCGGTAGCAGAACCATATCTATAAAATCCCCCAGATTATTGGGAAATTGATTAACACATTAAGGAGCCCAAAGGGTGTTAAAAATTATAAAATGTGAACAAAAGGAAAATAAAACATACCAAAACTTACAGGGTACAGTGAAAGCAGCATGTATGAGAAAATTTATAGCATTAAATGCTTAGAGAAGAATGAAGGACTCAATAATATATGCAAAAAGACAAAATTATTAAACAGAAGCGGGAAAGGTGGTAATAGATAAATGGCAGGGCGGCACCTGTGGCTCAAAGGAGTAGGGCGCCAGCTCCTTATGCTGGAGGTTGCGGGTTCAAACCCCGCCCTGGCCAAAAACTGCAAAAAAAAAAGAAATGGCATAGAAAACAAAACAAAATAGTAAATCAGGGGCACTGGAATTTAATATTTTGAGAAGACTAGTAAAAATAGATCAAAGAAAAAAGAAGAGACACAAAGTAACCAATATCAAGAATGAAAGAAGAGATATCCTTATAGATTTGACAGAGTAAAAGAATAATAAGGAAATATCATGAATTTTATGCCAATAAATTTGAAAACTGATGAAAACAACGCCTTTCTTAAAAGACCCAAATTACTAAATCTCAAAAAGAAATAGCTTACATAGTTTAACACCAAATAGATTAAATTTCTGTTTAAAATCTTCCCACAATGAAAATTTCCAGCTTAACTGGTGAATTCTATCAAACACTTAAGGAACTTGATACTGTTCCAATTCTACACAAACTCATCCAGAAAAATAAGGGAAAACACTTCCCACTTCAGTCCGTAAAGCTGGTATTAACCTGATATCAAAACCAGGCAATGACATTACAAGAAACATATACGTAGATGGAAAAATTCCTAAGAAAATATTTGGAAATCAACATGGCCCATATGTCAGAAGGAAAATACATTATGACCAAGTGAGATTTATCCCAAGATTATTTTTTGAGCATTTGGAAATCACTTACAAAAAAAAATAATAACAAATGCTCCTCAATTTACAATGGGGTTAGTTACATCTCAATAAACCCACTGTATTGAAAATACCATAAGTTGAAAATGCATTTAATATACCTACCAAACATGGCTTAGCCTAGACTAACTTAATTGTCCTCAGAACACTTAACATTTGCCTGCAATTGCACAGAATCATCTAACACAAAGCCTATTGTATAAAAGTGTTGAATACTGCGCACAGATGGGCATTTTGTAGACATGACAGGCTGCAGAAATCACAAAACACAGTATCACAAAACAGTTTACCTTGTGATCATATCTGTAGAAATTGACAGGTCAGTTCTCCACCTGTATGGAAATACAAAGGAATCAGGTAGGCAAAACAATTTTGATAAAAAAGAACAAATTTGGAGGACTTTTAATATATAGTTTCTGTCTTTTATAAAACTACAATAATAAAGACAGAGTTGTATCAAGCATTATAATAGACATACAGATCAAGAAAAGAGTCAATAGGCTCGGCGCCTGTAGCACAGTGGTTATGGCGCCAGACATATACACCATTGCTGGAGGGTTCAAACCCAGCTCCAGCCAGCTAAATAACACCTGCAACCAAAAAATAGCCTGGCATTGTGGCAGGCACCTGTAGTCACAGGTACTTGGGAGGCTGAGGCAGGAGACTCACTTGAGCCCAGGAGTTGGAGGTTGCTGTGAGCTGTGATGCCACGGCACTCTACCCAGGGTGACAGCTTGAGGCTCTGTCTCAAAAAAAAAAAAAAAGGTTGACTTTGGAATAAAAGCCAACATTACATTGATTTGGGATCTTCAAAACTCAGAATGTTGAAGTTTAAGATTAAAAATAATTTGAATGGCTCGGTGCCTGTGGCTAAGGCACCAGCCACATACACCTGAGCTGGCAGGTTCGAATCCAGCCCAGGACCACCAAACAACAATGATGGCTGCAACCAAAAAAAAAAAAAAAAAGCCAGGCGTTATGGCGGGCACCTGTAATCCCAGCTACTTGGAGGCAGAGGCAGGAGAATCGCTTGAGCCCAGGAGGTAGAGGTTGCTGTGAGCTGTGATGCCACGGCACTCTACCCAGGGCAACAGCTTGAGGCTCTGTCTTAAAATAATAATAATAATTTGAATTTAAAATGATTCCTTAGGGCTGGGTGCAGTGGCTCATACCTGTAACCTTAGCACTCTGGGAGGCTGAGGCAGGAGGATCCCTTGAGCTCAGCCATTCCACACAAGGCTGAGCAAGAGTAAGGCCCCCGGCTGGATTCGAACCCACCACCTTAGGTGTATGTGGCTGGCACCTTAGCCACTCGAGCCACAGGCGCCGAGCCCAAAGTCAACCTTTTTTGTGGCCCTTGTAGTGAGTTAGAAAAGATCGTTGCTGGAGGAAGTCTTCAGGTATTAAATTGTGTCTTTGCAGTTATTCTTCTTAGGATGCAAATAAGATTCATGTCTTTCAGTTTGACTTTGTGTTTTTCCAGTGTGAATGAATGCTTATCTCTTTTAGTTTCTAACCTAGGACCTTTACTCAATCCTTCTCTTTCTAAACATACAATCAATCCACTGTGTCAGACTAATATCATAAGAGAAGCCTGTGACCATGGGAATTCCTGAATGCATTTATTCTCTCTCTTCACTCACACTGGCTCCCTGACCCCAGGAGGTTTGTTTATGCTGGTCCCTCTATATAAAATGATACTCCTTCTCCTCCTCACCAGGTTAACTCCCGTCACTTACTCAGAGAAACCAGGCTTGTCATAACTGAGTTGATCCTTCTTTTATCATCTCTCATGGCTTTTCCCTGCTCCTTTGCAGAACTTTGTATGTTTGTGTGATTATTTAATAGCAGCCTGACTTCCCCTAGACCCTGATCTCCCTGAGATAAAGAATGATTGTCTTTACTATCACACATAATATGAAATTACATGTACTGTATATGATTTAAACCCTTTACTATGGCTGGGCATGGTGGCTCGTGCCCATAATCCTCATCACTCTGGGAGGCCAAGGTGGGTGGATTGCTTGGGCTCGGGAGTTTGAGACCAGCCGGAGTAAGAGCAAGACCCTGTTTCTATTAAAAAATAGAAAAAATCTAGCCAGGCATTGCGGCAGGTGCCTATAGTCCCAGCTACTTGAGAGGCAAGAGGATCATTTGAGCCCAAGAGTTTAAGGTTGCTGTGAATTTGATGCCACAGCACTCTATCCAGGGTAACAGAGGGAGACTCAGCCTCAAAAAA